ATTACACTTAAAAAAAAGGCCTCTGGACTCTGGCCGGTGTGGCTCAGTCGGTCGGGCACTGACCCCTGCACAGAAAGGTTGCTGGCTTTATTTTGGATCAGGGCACATGCCCGAGTTGCAGGCTTGATCCCCAGTACGGGGCATGCAGGAGGCGGCCAATCAATGTTTTGCTTTCACATCAATGTTTCTCTGCCTCTATTCCTCTCCCTTCCTCTCTAAAAATCAATAAAAAATTCTTTAAAAAAAAATGGGATCAAGGCCTTAACCCCAGGAAACTATAGCAACTCTGATTGGTCCAAGAAATTGAAAAGATATTGGGAAGATAAAACAAGAGGACAGAGAATGAGAAATTACTGAGGAAGGGGGCCTCGGAGTGGGCCACGAGGGGGAACTGGAGGCCGGGGAGTGGGTCTGGGTGGAGGGAGGGGCCCCCTTTGGTAGCCATAGGGTGGGGGTCGTGGGGGGCCAGTGTATCCATGAGGGGGCATCAGTGGAGGAGGCCCACGCATACCATGGGGAGGCATAGGACCTGGGTGACCTGTAAGAAGAGAAAGAAAAGTTAGTAAAAATAAGAAATAGGAGGTAGTTGATGCTGGGAGGATGTAGGGAGAGACTGGACAAGGAGAAGAAAGAGTAGGGGGAAGGGGTGTGAAAAGGAAGCCCCAAGAATATGATATATGAGGAGGAGGAGGAGGAAGGAGGTGGCTAGAGTCTACTCACCCATGGGAGATCCAAACGGAGGCCCTCGGGGAGGCATGCCCATTGGAGGAGGTCCAGGATGAGGCATGCCAGGAGGTGGTCGTGGTGGGGGCTGCCCCCCAGATCCTGGGGGCCCAGCATGGGGGTGTCCTAAGCCATGAGGGCCATGGTGGGCCAGCTGCATCTGTGACATACCTATGAGAACAGACACACAAGAGAAAGGGCAGATAAAATGGAGTGACATCAGGAAGAGTATGGAAAATAAGGCTGATTAAAAAGTGCTTCTATCCTTGAACTCATCCCAACCAAATACCCAAGCAATTCCTCCCCCACCTCACTTGCTCTTTCCATGGTTTAGGCACTAATAGTGCTGCAGAAGTACTTGACAAATGGAGTGAATTAGTCCAGCAGTCACCAACCTTTCGGACCTCATAATCGCTAAATTAGCCTGTTGATAGAATTTGGAAAGGTGGCAGAGATACTATCTAAGCAAAGACCTATTTTCAAAGGATGAATAAGCATTGTTCAGATGGACAGAATAGGAATAGAACATCAAAGGCAGAAAAGATTACAATCATAGGTGTGTTAAGCAACAAAGTTCCAAGAGAACTAGTAATTTCGTTAACCATGGGCCAGATCAAGAAAAGCCTAGAATGCTATGGCAATGAGTCTGGAACTTCTCTGTAGATAAAAGGAAACAACCGAATAATTTTTAGTAAGTATGTACAAATACGTGTTTTAGAAAAATAACTCTGTGAAACTCTCAAAGATAGAGAAAATTGGAGTCAAAGTGAGAGGAAGTTTCTACAATAAGTTAAATGTGAAATAATGAAGGTATGATGCCCTCACCAGTGTGGGTCAGTAATTAGACTGTCAGCACACTCACCAATCAATGTTCCTCTCTCTTTCCTCCTCCCTCCCTTCCACACTCTCTAAAAATACCCTTGAGTGAGGATTAACAAAAGTAAAAAAAGAAAGAATCCTATATATTTAAGAACTAATATGCTAATGAGACAACAGAACAACCTTCCGGAAGGACCAGTGGCACCACGAGGCAGCCGAGGCTACAAAGGCCTACTCTTGCACAAATTTTGTGCATCGAGCCTCTAGTAAGGGTATCAGAGCCTGAAATCAGGCACTGGCAGTCAGGGCAGATGCCACAGATAGAATAGTCAAACATAGCTCCAAGATTTCTGAATTAAGCACCTGCAAACAAAGAATACTAGAGGAAGAATATACTTAATCCTGCTGCTGAACGGACAGCTAGAAAAGTGGAGCTGTCCATTCAGGAGCAGGATTAAGTGTATAGAATGTTAATAATCATGAATCAGAGATACAGATCCAGGAGGCATCGGTGTGCAAGTAATGAAGCTACACAAATAGAAAAAGAGGGTCTACTAAAGTGGCTGAGCTTGAGGAGACAGAAAGATAAAGATCCAGAGAAATCAAGAGATAAGCTTTTCAAACAAAAAGACATGGACAACTCATAGGCACAAACAGTATGGTGGATTACCAGAAGGAAAGGGGTGGTGGGAGGTAGAAATGGGTAAAGGGGGATAAATGGTGAGGGGATGTATTACAGAGTTGTACACCTGAATCCTATATAATTGTATTAACCAATGCTCCAATAAATTCAATAAAATAAAAAAAAATTTTTTTTAAAGGCATGGCTGGTTCTGAGTAAGAACAAAGGTCAAACTAGACAAGGAGCAGAAGTGTCCCCTAGATTTGGCAAATAGATCACTCACTGCTTTGGAGTAAAAGTCAGAGGAAGTATAAGTTAAGGAAACAACAAACAGTAAATATAGTCATACCCTTTAGAAAAACGTAAACGGAGACAGGGTGCTAGTTGTTAAAGTAAACAGAGTATTTTGTGTTTCTTCTTATAAAATAATGTCTGAAAGTTCAGCTCTGGATCTATTATTGTTAAAGGAAAAAGGGCAGCAGCATAGGTGGTGATAGAGATCCTCTTTCAAGCTTATCCCTCCCTTTCCCAGCAAACACCTACCTGGATGGGGCATCCCACCCGGTGGAAATGGGTGAGGATGTGTGTGTCCGTGTCCAGGATGTCCAGCCCCCGGGGTTCCTGCTGAAGGGGGCCCATGGCCTCCAGCCCCAGGAGGCATGGGTGGTGGGGGCATGGCTGGGGGTATCCCCGGTGGAAGCGCTCCAGGAGGCGGCACTGGGGGTGGGAAGGAGCCAGGAGGAGGCATGCCTACAGAGGAAATGGAAGAATTAATGACAGTGAGGAGAGAATGTCTTTAACGAGCCTGTTTCAGTGTGGCCTCTCCATGTAGGATGAGTTCTTCTCTCCTCCTCCCAGCTCTCTAAAAAAAGCAATGTTAGCCGATACAAACAACTTCAACTTCCTGGAGAAACAGCAACTTTTCTCCCCATCGCAACCATCGCACTTCAATCCTCTCACCACCCAAGACTCAAAGTCCTCCTTTATTATCCTTTGTCCTTCTGCCTGCCCTATCCACCAAACCCAAAACCAACATGTTTTGAATCAAAAGCTTTACCTGGTGGAGGAAGCCCAGATCCCAGTGATGACACTACAGGATTGGGGGCAGAGGGTGGCGGCGGGGCATCTGCAAACAGCTGATGAGGGCGATCAGCCTGGGAGAGCGGGTTCTGGGCTGCCAGAAGCCGTTCGGCTGCTGAGCCATGACGTTCACCCTTGGAGTCCTTCTTGAAGGCGTAGGACACAGTGATAGGGCGGTTACAGAGGTACTGCCCATTCATAGCTTCAATTGCTGCGTCCGAAGCATCAAATGAAGCAAAATTAATAAAGGCATAACCTTTGGAGTTGCCTGTGTCCGGGTCCCGCATAATCTTGGGGGTTTGTAAAATGACCCCGAAGGCGCTGAAAGTATCGTACAGCAACTTCTCATCAATCTCCGGGTCCAGGTTCCCAATGAAAATGTTGGCCCCCACATCCAGGTTCTTGTTGTGAGCTGATGCTTTGTTCACCCGGATTGGCTTCCCATAGAGTTTGATCATGTTCATGATCTTAATGGCATAGTCAGCATCTTCCTCGCTCAAGAATTCCACAAAACCATAGCCTGGAGAAGTGGAAGGGAGGAGGTTAACTTAAGCAAAGTGGTGCAAAATGGGGTCTAGCTCATCCACCTTTGACAGCACCAAAAAATAAGAAATAATAACCTCTCTTCAATTGAGAACAGTCCCAGAAAACAAACTGTGCAGACTTGAGAGACAGAAATGTTTAGGTTGCTTATTCCAAAACAGTCGTGAATACTGCTGGGATTCTCAAAGCGCAGTTTGTCCCCTCGGTACATAAATAACCCCTCTTGCCACGAACTCACCTTGGTGCTGGCCAGTGACTCTGTCCTTTGGCATGTGAGTGTTAACCACTGGCCCGGCCTGGAGAAACAGCTCCCACAGCAGCGGTTCGCTCACCTTCTCGTCCAGGCCCCCCACGTACACAGTGGCATCTGGACGACGGGAGAAGGTTAGGGCAGAGATGAATCGATAGGAAAGGAGATGACAGGCACATGAAGGTGAAAACCAAGCGGGGTAATTAGGGGGTGGAGACAGGGTAGAGGAGCAAAAAGACAATCACCACAAAAAGACCCGTTAGATTAAGCCCAGACACCTCCCTTTCTACAGGAACTACAGAACCTTCTTAAGTCTAACTTGGTTCTGCTGCAAATTCTCTTTATTTATTTATTTTTTTTTTAATCAGTGGGAAGGCAGAAGATGGGACATAGAAAGCCTCACACTTACAGGCCTTAGCCTGAACCCGGCCTCCCCGCCCCCCGCCGGCACCGGGCCGGTCGCGCTCCCCCGCCCCGGGGAAGCCCAGTCTCCCGCCCGGACGGAAACACTAGTGGCCACAGTGGGGCCTCCCAACCCCCTAAACCCATTCCCGCCTCGTTCCCTCCAATCACCCTGGTTCCGCTCGGAGATCGGCCCGGCCGCCATGGTGAAAGAGCTCCCGCCGTCTCCAGGCAGCGACTCCGCCCTCCGACGTCATCACTACTTCCACTTCCGGGGCGAAGGCCGACGTAGCGGGTGGGCGGGCCTTGGCGGTGGGAGGAGCCGGAAGCGGTCGCCGCCATCTTAGGAGCCGCTGTTACCGGGTGCGGCGTGGGCGTCCGCTGGTGCCGAGGTGACCGCGAGCGCCACGGGCGAGGGAGGCAGGACGGCAACGGCCAGACCCACTCATGGCTGAGTGAGACGTTGCAGGATCACGCTGTTTCCAAAATGTAAATTCGCAAACTAAAGGAACAAAATTTTACTTTTCATATATGTTGTTTCCCCAGAGAAGGGTGTGCCGAGCAACTCCCTCACCCACGGACTGCGCGGAGGCAGCCCTCCACGCCGTTCCGTGGCGCCGACCTGGGCTTGAGTTAGTTTTTTTTTGTCTCCTTCAAGGGAGGAATTGCAGAGCGTCGCAGCTGAAGCCGTCTCAGCTCGCCTCGCGGTCATTATTTAGGGGGTTCCGGGGGACCCCAGGCTTACAGGTGCAGTGTGACCAAACCTGAGGGGTGGTTGGCATTGAAGCCCAGAGGCTTCGACCTCCAGAACATTCCTGGCCCTAGCAACCAAGAATTGGTGTGCTTTTGCACCACCTGTTCCTAAATGGGAAGCGTGGAGAAGAAAACTTTCCAAATTGCATGTGAAGTTTGCAGAGCCTCACCTGACCCATCCCTTATTTCTTTATCAACAACTTGGTGAGTGCAATTCTCTCTTGGGTCACACCCACCCTACACCTACCCCACTCACTTAGGATCCTTGATTCAGACACAAGAAACAATGCCAGCAACAAGTATAAATACTGCGCTTTAATGAACCCCTTAAATAGAAATTCACTACAAAAATATACAATTGGAAGAGACAGGGTGTTTCCCATATCCACTCCATGCCCATAGGAAGCTCTAGGGAAGAAGTAGAAATTGGAATTAAAGAAACAGCAAAAGGAGGTGAAAATGAGGTCTGAACTCAAAATTAACAGTTGGATATCCAAAAGGGATGGAATTTGCCAGAAAAGAGACAGGTGATCATATTTTGGTTTGTTTTTGTTTCTTTGTTCAAATCACAAGACACTATATACAATCTTGAGGAACTAAACAGGACAGAGCAAGAGTTGTAGGTAGCACCACCCATCTGCAAAGTTAGATCTTGTTTGAAGGCTGGAATGTGAAAGCTGAGGCAGCAAGACCAGATGAGAAAAATGGAAAGGATTAGACAGAACCCTCTCTCACCCCAGACCACCTTTTGTCCTGCCCATAAGAAAGCCAGCAATTTCAACAGAATTGAGAGAGAATGGGATTTGGATCTCTTTTGTTGGAGTGATCCTCAGGAGATATTCTTGGAGTCCATTTCTTTAATAGCTCCTGCAGACAGGATAGCTCATCCTGGAGGCCAGTGATGGTGGGAGCTGAGAGGCCCATCTGGGAAGGGAGTGAAGAGAAGTAGAGGAACAGTATTACTGCAGATCTAGCTCTCTGCTTCTGAAACCTGTCCACTACTTCTAGCATCTTTAATTCTCTTTCCCCCTCCAATTATGCCCTAGGTTCCACTTGATCTGAGCCCCAAGCAGTTTTCCCCACCTACCCATACTCCCAAACCTAGCCACTTTGATACCAACATGAATGGTTGTTCACTTCCCAATTTCCCCAGCCTCTTCCTTTTCCAGCTCCTGGAAACATCTGGTTTCTCCTAAAACATCTTGTTTCTCCTATAACATCTGGCTTAGCAGTGAAACCCTTCTCCCACTCCCACTCCCTGTCTTCTCTTCTCACCTGGACCTCAGGCCTTCCCCTTAGGTAGCAGCGTCTCCAGAGCCTGATCTGGGGTCCCAAATACCCAGGCAGCAGCAGCCCTGCGGGTAAAGGGCAAGCTCCCCAATGGGAGGGGAGCCCCCACTCTTGATCAGCTAGACTTTCCGAAGAGATAGCAGGTCGAGGGAGCCAACGTGAAGAGACTGCCAGCAGGGAAGGACTGTCCCGCCAAGGACAGAGCTGATTCAGGGCAGTCAAAGCCCCTCTAGAGAAGAGCCACACAGAACTGGGAGGTCCAGGAACCATGAAGCTTGGCTAAAGGGGAAAGGAAAATCAACATGACCTAGAAACCAGATGAACCCAGTTTTCCCAAATTGGGTCAGGAAGGAATGTCCAGCTGCTACTCACTGCACTGGTGGTGGAACTACAAGCCTCCCACTGAGAACTCTATTTTTCCTCTTCATTAGGTTTCAAGACAGACCTTAGGACTGATTAAAGTTGATTTTAGGGAAACTTGTAAAATGTATGTGTGAGACAGAAGATGATGAGGACCAAAAGGATGCCCACAGCTATTCTAGGATTTCAGTCTTCCTGGGGACAGGAACAATAAGTGATAGTTGTAGGAGTAGGTTAGCTTTCCCTGAGAAACTTAGACACTATATCTTTCCACCCCCCAACCCCCCATCTAGTAGGATGAGCCTGTGAGAAAGTCAAGGGATTTTAGGGAGTTCAGACACATCACCTGCTGTCTAGGGAGCCAGGAATCTTGGCAGTGTTCGGGGTCATAGCCAGGATTATGGAATTGTAGTATCTGTTCCTTGCTGTAGCGTAAATCCCAGTCCCAGACAGAGAGCTGTGCGTTAATAGAGTTCCCATCTGGGGGGTGGGAGTACCCTGGGGTATAGACTTGCGTATAGGAGTTGAACTGTACAGAGGAAAACAAAAAAAGGTGGTTAAACAAAGAAAAAAAATCTATAGATATAAAAGCCTAAGTGACCGACCTTTTGATGGGTAGCTATGACACACTGACCACCAGGGAGCAGACGCTCAATGCACAGGCATGGAAACATGGAACAGACTGATGAATCTCAGAGGGAAAGGTAGTGGAGAAGGGCAGAGGGAGATTAACCAAAGATCTTACATGCATCTAGAGGCCCTGTGCATGGATTCATGCACCAGTGGAGTCCGTTGGCCTGGCCTGCACCCTTTTGCAATCTGGGACCCCTCAGGGGATATTAGGCCAGGCCGAGAGATCCCACTGGTGCACGAATCAGTGAGTCTCTAGTGTGTGTGTGTGTGTGTGTGTGTGTGTGTGTGTATCCCTTCTCACAGGTCTAGAGAGAAATTGTGAAATGCTCAGGAATGAGCATATGATTCACCCTACATATGATTCCTGGAATAAGAATCATATTTAGGGTGAAAGTCCATTCCTGAGAGAGAGCACCAACCTTCCCCTTTTAACCCACAGACCTCACTTTTCATAATCAAGACTAAACTCTGTGAAGTACTTCTCAATGAGAGGTGGAGGAATGTGGAAGACAAGTGAAAAATGGAAGTCACTGACCTGTCTACTCTGCTTTCCACGCTCCCAGGGATTGTCTCTCAAGAATGTAAGTGTGTCAGGAACCCTGACACTGTCATGAAGAGCAACAAGGAAAAACTCGGAGAATTCAAACTCAGCTGGAAACTGCTGGAGGAGCTGCCAGACACAATCAAGGAAGAGGAGAAACACCGGGGCCTGAAAAAAAGGTAAATTAAGAGAATGGAATGGACTATAGGAAGCTAAGAGGGGAAGATGACAAATGAGAGGGACATAGGGAACAGGAGCTACTATGGAGATCAGGAAATGGAAATCTGAGTTGATCATAATAGGGGGTGTGGTCCCTCATTCATCTGAGTTCTCCCTTCAAACTCAGCCGAACCTCATGACCCTTCAGACCTTATTCATGTCCAATGGACTATACTATATCATTTTCTGATCCTCTTTTTAGGTAATACTGGCCCCCAACCCAATACCCTCACAAAATGTTCTCACCTTTTCACCGACCCCAGTTACCCCAAATCGAGTCAGGAAGGGATGTCCAGCTGCCACCCACTCTCGCTGCACTAGTGATTGGAAGCCAAGCAGTGTTCGGGCTTCAGGGGCTGAAAGCAGCTGGACCAGTGAAGAGAGGAGGCCATTGAAATCACGATCGCCACGCTCTGGTGATAAAGAGAGAGAAGGGATAAAGAAGGAGGTGCCAAGAAACTAGGGCAGAAGAGAATGAGAAAAGAAAACATGGCAAGAAGTGAGAAGCACAGAGGGGGAAAGGTTTTGGATAGGTAGAATTGAGAAGGCACATAGAAATAAAGAAAAAACAAAGACCTTGAATGATTCACTTTGTAGACTCCACCTGGATAGAAATACCCAGCCTCACATGTAGGGGGCAGCATTATAAATCTCAAATCAGCTTCCATATTGTCCTTCCCATCCCAACCCCAATCCCTATCTATATTGGAAGAATAGGAACAGAGGGCAGAGAATCCTTCTGTTAGGGACCACAAGCTGTGGTAGGGAGGCAGAGGTAGCACTAAAGGATGAGTTAGAGCTCATGGGTAGTTCCTAGTAAAGGAAGAAGAGGATGCTAGCACTAGAAGGGGATAAGCTTTATAACGGGTGGGGAATGTCTGGCCTGTGGGCTATATAAGGTCCATGAAATAATTTTGTCTGGCCCTGCCAAGGCACTAGGGGTGAGTAAATTAAGTGTTTGAACACATATAGCAGGCTAATTTTTAAAAAAATATATTTTATTGATTTTGTACAGAGAGGAAGGGAGAGAGATAGAGAGTTAGAAACATCAATGAGAGAGTCATCGATCAGCTGCCTCTTGCACACCCCCTACTGGGGATATGCCCACAACCAAGGTACATGCCCTTGACCGGAATCGAACCCGGGACCCTTCAGTCCCCAAGCCGACGCTCTATCCATTGAGCCAAACCGGTCTTGGCAAGCAGGCTAATTTTTAAGTTGATAATTTAGTATGGCCTGAGAATGATGTTATAAATATCCAAATGGCCCCTGGTGGGAAAAAAAAAAAGATTCCCCACCCCCGCCTTATATATTTCACTCCTTGAGCCCAATCCAGTTAGGTAGATAAAGGAAAAACTCAAGTAATGAAGTGATTTGACCCAAGAAACTCACCTTGAAGTACTACAGAGCGAACTCTTGATGTCACTAAAACTGAAATGTCACTGGCCTTTCGAAGGCAAGACCTGCAGGTGAGGAAGAGGAGGGAAGAATAAGCCTGGAAAAGAGGAGTGAGTGGTCATGGGATAGAATTGAGGCCAACTCCAAAATCCTGCCTTCTCCTAAGGAGCATGAAATAACAGCCTTCTTGGGAAACAAAGGTGAAAAATTAATGGAAGGCCACTTAGGAATCCAAGTTAACAGAAATTTGGGGAGGGTTGAATTATAAGTCATTTTTAGAAAAAGAGGGAGTACCTGACATAGTCCAACCATCGTGTTCCTTCCAGGGCTGAGAGCCATTTATCCTCAGATACAGATGAATCTGATGGATAGTAGAGGGGTCAGAAGAACAAAGAGATCAGAACTCTGGATTCAGGATTCAGGGTCTATAGCCTGAAGGGTTAAAAATATGTTGGGTAATGGTTGCCTTGGACTGGGAATAGGAATGAAAAGTAAATATATAAATGGCCATGAGGTTTCAAAAGTTAAAATTGTGGTAATGTTTGTACAAAATAGTAAATTTATTGAATTGTATACTTATGGGTGAAGGATGATTTTTATGCTATGTAGATTATTTATAATAATAAAAGGGTAATATGCTAATTAGACCAGATGGCTTCCAAAGGTCATTCTGGACGTCCTTCCTGACCAAGCCAGGGCCCACAGGAAGCAAGCCTGGGTCCCGGATGCCGGAAGGAAGCTGGTGCTGGCAGCCAGGGGAAGGAAGGCCTACTCTTGCATGAATTTTCGTGCATCAGCCTTCTAGTATCTCAAAGCTATTAACAAAAGAATGCGTTGGGGTCTGGAAGACAGGAAATTAGTATGTGGGTGATGGGAGAGTTGAGTAGAAAACTAAGGCTCATTGGGCTGAATGGTGGTTGCTCATCTATATCAGGCAAATGGAAAGCCAGGTTAGGGTCAGCAGACCTACAAGTGGGGTCAAGGGTTAAAGGTTATTCTTACCAGGCAGACAGAGGGCCCTCAGCCTCAAATGGGCAAGTTGGACATCTGCAAGACTAGGCAGCTCATCCATAGTGTCGACCAGGACAACGTCAGAATGCCCAGCCTGGAGCATAGACTCCACTGCTCTGGAGAAGAAAGAGTCAGAAAGTAAGGGAAGGAGTCTGCTCTGAACACCTAACCTTTAATTCTCATAAGACTCCCTCACCTGATATCCTCCTTGTTAGGGTCACTGGCTGTGTAGAAACCTCCACAACGGAGAAGATCACTACCCCCAGGGTGATGCCAGGACAGGCGCTTCAAATGGGTGAGAGGAGAATCACTGTGGGAGAAACTCTGAGCCCCACCTTACCCTTGCCCCCACACTGACCTCAGAGGGATTTCCTCCCTTCAATGACCCCTGACCTCCCCAAACCCTCTAATCCCCACCCCTCACACTGACCGGTCCACGGCCTTGATGAAAGTGGCCAAATGCTCTCCTGACCTCACTGTCCAGAGTTCGGTTAGGGACCCAGAAGTAACGGGGGAGGCTGTGAAATTGAGAGTTATGTCACATTTTGATCTCATAACGCAAACCCATGTTTACAAGTAAGGTGCTTAGGAGGTGATCATTCCAAGGGATATCATTTTTAGAGATCTTGGAGGTAAGGAGGATAGCTTTGTGGAGTGTGTGGGAAGCATAGCTTAAGTCAGAGAACTATGGGAGGATAAGAAAGGCTACAGCAGTTGGGGTGGACTAGGGGATCACCTGGTGGCGACGTCGAATCTCTCATTGACAAGACTAACTCGCCAGCCTTTGGCACCCTGCTTTTTCCTCTCCGTCTCCCAGTCTTCTGATGTCTCCAAGAGGGGAATAGGTGATTTTCTGGAGCCAGAACTCTGGCCTAGGGCAGGAGTGAGGCACAGAAGAGAAAGAAGACAGCTTTTCAACCAGCCTCTAATTTTTCAGACTCTATCTTTTCCTTATCCCAGAGCACCCTCACTTACCAGTCTTGCTCAGGGCTATCCCTGAGTACTGTTGGGTTTGACTGCTCTGAGCTCTGGCTTGGGCAATGGCCATAGTCACCTGGGGAGGAAAGTACATCACCCTTTTGGCTCAGACTGAAGTGAAAAGGAAATAGGGTGTGTTGCTTCATTGTCTTTGCCACCAACAGAGAACAATAACACAGTCCCTAACGAAGGGAGCTTCTTAGTCATGGGGACTGGGGTCAAGAAAATAGATCTAGAATCACAGAATGGTAATTCTGGAAGGAATTAGGAATATTCTCCTCCAACCCTCCCTATTTTTCAAAGGAAGACACTTGCCCACAGTCATTCATACACCTGTTAATTGGCAGAGGCAGGCTAGAATTCAGGCCCAGTATTCTCATTATACTATCATTTATCCCAGCCTTTTAGCCACTCCTTGAGGAAAGAGGCAGAGCGAATGATGAAAGGGGTCCTGGGAAATAAGGGAGTACTGGGAATTGCCAGGGAAAGGATCCCAAGGTTCTCAGGGAAGGAGGGGTTCTTAGGTTGGGAGCCTCTTACCTGAAAGGCCTGAGGCTCTAGTCCTCCAGCCTCAAAACCAACTCTGAGCAGCCGGAAGTCTCGGCCGTGAATCAGGATCTCCTCAGGGATAAATTTAAGCAGGGACCCTGGACGATGGAGTTGGACTCGAGACAGGCTACTCACTGAAGTCAAGAATTAGAGAGCAGTGTAGCCATGGATCAGGGTCCCTCTAGGAGGAACTCCTCATGCCCATCCCACTGCATCCCTGCTGTCCTCTAAGAATAGAGGAAGGATTGAGTAGGGTAGCCAACACCCCCAGGAAGCCCCTTGACCAGCCCCCTCACACTTACCAGCCTCTAATTGCCCAATGTTGACCAGGGCAAAATCATAATCACTGCTTAGGGGAGTCTCCTAGAGGAAGCATATGATATGCTCAAGACATCTCCTATCCTATCTCGGTAGCCCTCACCTTTCTAGAAGAGATCCCATTGATTATCCCTGATGCATTCCAAAGAGAGCCTTTAAGAATAACTCTCTAGCTGGTGTTGCTTAGTAGTTAAAACACTAACCCACATACTAAAGAGTCTCAGGGTTTGATTCCCAGTCAAGGCATATACCTGGGTTGCAGGTTCAATCCCCACCCTGGTCAGGACGCATGTAGAGACAACCAATCGATGTCTGACTGTGTCAGACTGTCTGTCTGTCTATCTGTCTCCCTCTCTCTTTCTCTATCTCTATCCCCGCCCCCCTTTCTCTCAATCTCTCTCCTCCTCCCTCCCTTCCTTCCACTTTCTCTAAAAATCAATGGAAAAAATATCCTCAAGTGAGGCTTAACAAAAAAAGAAAAAAATTTCCTCTAATGTTTGTCTAAATCCTTCTAGACTCTGCTACCTATTCATACTAGCTGTCATTTACATTGGCCTAACCATCTCACCTGATGTCGCTGCCATCCATAGGGCTGGAAGGTGACCCTCAAGTTGGTACAGATCAGGGTTCCAGGCAATTCAGGTTCCAGCCCCTTCCGCACCCCTGGGGCCCATGCTAGGATCTGCTCCCCTACAGGAAAAGCCAGGTTATGACCATTCCAGTGTTGCCCACATGTGTACAACCACTCTGAGACAGGAGGATCTAAAGAGGAAAGATTAAGATCCTCCTCTAACTCCTAAGAATGAAAGGTTATGAGAAGAGAATTTGTAATCTTTTACTCTAGAGTAGGGGTGTCGGACTCAATCAGAGAAGGGGCCAAAATCTAAAATCCAGCCTAAATCGCGGGCCGAATGGTTTACTGAACAGTCATAAACTGTCATTGTGATGGAAACGCAGCGGAGTGCAGTGATGACAGCGCGGTGCGGGCCACATTGCAAGGCCTGGCGGGACGGATTTGGCCCGCGGGCCTTGTGTTTGACACATGTGCTCTAGAGTCTAGAACAGTGCCTGGCACATAGTAGGCACTTACATATTTATTGAAAAAGTAAATGAGAAAAGGGGTAGCAGGGTCATCAAGGTCCAAGCTCCCAGACAGTTCTGTTCAGAGAAGAGAACAAGCCTCAAGCAGAAGCAGCACTTTGAGCCAGGAAAGGAATATGAAGGTACCTTTAGTGAAGGTATGAAGCAATATTTGAGTAGATAAAATTTGAAGTCATTTCTGAAGATCAGAAGTACTGAAAGGACATTATTACCTGGGAGGCATCCAGAGGCCAGGCAGCTGCCAAGTTGAGGATTCCTGGGCTCTGGCATCCCACTCCCCTGGACAGACTGTGGTCCAGAGGGCTGTGAAGGGTGTAGCGTTATTCCCCAGGCCTCTCCAACCCTGGGGTCTTGGATTAACTCAGCAGCCACGTTTAGAGGCCTACACTCAGACTCAGGGGAAACTGAGATCAGTGGCTGTGGGGAGCTCAGGACCCGGGCTGGCAGACAGTGAAGGGAGGGGCTGGTTAATGGATAATGAGACGATGAACTTGAGACTGAAAAAGACAGGCCAAGCTTCATCAGCCAGAGAATATGAGACACACCCTCCTCTTGCTCTAGATCCTTTTCTTCTATTTCCACATCCTCCCTACTCACACCCTCTGACCGACCAACCCTCCCCGCAAGCCCAACTTCCTCTCCTTACCCCCATCTCTGGCTCTTCCTTCTGGGGGGCGATGTTGAAACTCTGGCCCCTGCCCCCCCACCACATTTCTCCGGCTCCATCCGGGGACGGAGCAGTTAAAGGTGGGAAACTTCAAGGATGCTCAAGCCCCTTGGGGAGAGGCTGAATCTTGTAGCTGAGAGGAAGGAAGTCAGGGATGGGATCCGGGCAAGGGAACTGTCAGGGCAAAGGAACGTTTGAGGTGCATGTAGCACGATTTGGGGTCTTTGAAAGCTGTGTTCAGCTAGAGGAGGCTCCTCGGAAACTTCAGTCGACTCTGGAGAGGGCGGGAGAGATGCCCAGCCCCTTAAAGGAGCATACACACCATTTTGGGAAAGTGGGAAGGAATTGGAGGATCCTGGGAAGGGTGAGGAATCCATGGGGAACTGGAGACAAATACCCAGATTCCCTTCTTTACCCTTACTCCCAAATCCTGTTCACTTCTTGTTTATGAGAATTGGAGATTGAGGGGGAGCAGTAATACTGAATATTAAACTGGAACAATTTGAGCCACTTCTCTAGACTGAGTGATGGCTTCCCTGGGAAGCTGTTTTTTTTTTTTTTTATATCTTAAAAGGAGTGAGGGTGGAGGAAGTGGGAGGAACACAAAAACAGTTAAGGCCTTCTTACAGCCTCTCCAGACAGAACTACCAAAAGGGGTGAGAAGTAAACGGAAATTGGACCTCAGGATAGTTTTGCTTGGGGAGACCCAAGAATTAGGGATGGAGATGAGTTAGTGTTTTTGTTCATCCTTCTCCAGAGCATGAAACATATCTTGTATGCACAGTGCAGAGGAAAAGGCGAGAAACTGAAATCTCTCCAGGATGCAGACACAAGTACAGGTATGTTTATGTGCAAGTTATAGGGTGGAGGTGGGAGGCCCAAGGAAAAGATCTCACCAACTTAATCCATCACACACATACCCGAACACACACACACACACACACACACACACTGCCCCAACCAATTAGAAACTGGAGCCCACCCCAGATACATGACCCCTCCTTCCAGTCCAGACACCAGATCTCCAAATTAATAATTCATGTTCAGGATTCTGAGAGCTGAGCACTGGAAACCTCTATTCAGTTCTACAATCCCATTCCTCCTCCCTACCCCCTTGCAACCCAAGAAGCAAAGGTAGGGGAAGGGCATTGGAAGGAAGTAAAGGAACTGCAGGACTGCAGGTGAGGGGGACTAGGGTATGAATATTTAGATATGAAAAAGACAGGAAATAAAATACAAAGTAAGAGTTAATGAGCTGCTGTTTTATTGATTTTGAGTCTGTACAGAGGCAGCAATCCGTAGGTGGGGGCCCAGTGTCACTTTATTCTCTCCAACCCCCAGCACACACACCCTTCCGGCCTCAGCTTTACAAGTTCCCTGTCTGGCTGCAACTGTGGAAATTGTGAAAATACATATTGTGAGACAGGGCGTCAATCTGGAACAAAGAGGGATACCTGATTCTTAAGTTCCTAAAAGCTACTAAGCATCCCCACCCCCACCATGGGCTTCAATCTCTGGGGGGAAAAATACTTCCCAAGGTCTGTTGCAATAAGGTGTGTACCACAATTTTAAAATATCCACTTTCCTTCTCCCACCACCCTTCATTCAAGAGCCTCATTCTATTCTTTAATACTTTGAGGTAAGGAACAGCAGAGGAATACAGAGAAAAACATCAGGAGATTGGGGGAAAGTTGGAGGGTGACTTGGATTAGTCCCCAACCAGGACTGCAATGAGGGCAGCAGATGAGGGGTAATGAACAGCAGAACCACCTCTCACCACCCCACACACTCCCAGTGGAGGCTCAGCGGACGAAAGGAAGGGTGAAACTGTATCAGATTTTTCCATGTTCAGAATCCTGATCTGGTTGTAGGTTTGTGCTATGAGTGAAGGCTGCCAGGGGCAGCTGAAGGAGGAGCTGAGTGACTCATAGAATGAGTCACAGATCCAGTTATAAACACAGAAAGAGGCCAGTCCTCCCCACCCCCACTTCAGTCAGTTCTGCTGTTAGCCAGCTTCCCTCTCCTAAAGCCCCTTACTCATCAGGTAGAGTGAGGTGCCATGGAGTGTGTCTACATGGAAGACTTCATAACAAATTATTTTGTTCAACGTAAGTTCTTGGGGCAAAACACCCTGTGATTTGTAGACTGGGCATCTACAGAGTGAGACAGAATGCTTGTATGACTCACTGAATCTACAGTTAAAAGGGCCTGGAGGGGAAGGGAGACTAGAAGAATCCAGGGTGCAGATTATTCCAGCCCGGGAAGGGGCTTCTCATTCTGCCTTCTCAGCTGTGGCTATGTGTCTGGGGCAGACTCTTGGAGAAAGAGGACAGAGTCCAAGGTGTCCAAGTAACTCAAGGACAATCATTTCTGAAGCTTCTTTATTGGGAAAGGAAAAAAAAATGTGACTGGACCCTGGACACATGGCTGTTTAGAAAGGAATAAGAACGGCAAAAGCTAGGTTCTCAAGTCATTCAGAACCAGCCCCATTCTTTTTGGCTCGGTATCCCTCCCAAATATACAATACAAAGTCATTGCTAATCTTTGTTTTATTAGTCTGTGAGCTTTAGTTTTGCCTGAGAAGAAACTGCAGGAGGGAAGGTACTTGCCTCCAGGCCTGTACAGCACAGTGTAACACCATCCCCACTCCAGAATGAGATTGAATTTCTTAAAATTTATATATATATATATATATATATATATATATATATATATATATATATATCTTCATTTTAATAGAATCCAGTATGTGAGGAAAACTATTGGTTAAATCTTGTAACTCTCAATAAAACCAGCATAGATTGAGATTTTGGAGGCTTATTTTATGTATACTTGTTCCATCAAGGCTGGAGTGTATAAGGGTGGAGGGGTAGCACTATCTTAATCAAAAGGGGAAAATGTCCCCTTTCCAATAAAAAACTTCAATAGGTACCCCAACACCCTGAATTAAAGGAACTAAGTGCACTTATTTAAGACTGAGAGACATCATCCCTCAGCTAGGGTATGGGGGTCTGCTTACCCTTTTCACCCACAGACCTCTCCTTAACTAAGGAATTTTTGCTCCTTTTGAGTGCACATGATGTACCACTGTTTTCCCTTCTCCCAGTACAGTAATTGCATAGTCTTGCCTCTTCCACCCCCTCCTCTTCCCAAAATACCATAATCCAACCAAATTCATCTCCTAGGCATTATTCCTTCACTCCCCTACCCCACACAATTCCCTCAAATAAAGCAAAACAAACCCTACTCCTCCCTATAGGAAAACATCCATTGACTCAGGCTCCCTAATCCTTAGAACGGAGAGGTTTATTTAATGCCTCAATAAATAATTACCTACCCAAATTAAGAAAAATATTTCATAATAAAAAATACTATAGGGCTGCTCTGGCCGATGTTGCTCATTAGTTAGAGCGCTGGCCTGCTCTTAGAAAGGTCTCAGGTTCAATTCCTGATTCCAGTTCAAGGGCATGTACCTGGGTTGCAGGTATGATCCCATAGCAGGAGGCAACCGATTGATGTCTCTCTCCAACATCGATATTTCCGCTCTCTCTAAAAATCAACAGGACAGCCCTAGCTGGTTTGGCTCAGTGGATAGAGCATCGGCCTGCGGACTGAAGGATCCCGGGTTCAATTCCAGTCAAGGGCACATGCCTGGGTTGCGGGCTTGATCCCTAGTAGGGGGCATGCAGGAGGTAGCCCATCAATGATTCTTTCTCATCACTGATGTCTTTCTTTCTCTGTGAAACCAATAAAAATATATTTTTTAAAAATAAAAATCAACAGAAAAAATATACTCAGGTGAGGATTAACCACCACAAAAGCTGTAAGGCCTACATAAAGCCCTATTATACCAAACTCACTCCTAGGCCACTCCCCCCCCCCCCCCCCCCGAATTTCCATCTTTTTTATTGAAAAGTCAGAAGAAATTGGTGGTTAATTTATAAATCAAAGAAAAACAGACGACATAAGGTTTCCATTTTTGTTCATTTGTCTTCTGTTTTTTAAAAACAAAAAGTATTACCTAGAACTAATAACAGAACAAATCCAAACACAGCAGTCCAGTGGAGAATCAAAACTTTCCTGGCTTTATTATCTAGGGAAATCTCTGGTCTGTTTCCACTCCTATTGGTCCAGGCCAGAATCCTATGATATAGATGGACGCCTATGAGAAAGCTAAGGGAGTTGTGCAAATTCAAGGTATGAGTTTGAGCCACCTGCTGTTCAGGTGCATGTTAGGGGATGGAAGCCCATGAGGGTGGTAGTCTCACTAGTGTTCTAACCCCAGGAACAGAGTGAGGAGAGCAAGGCACTCATTTGGGGCACAACATTTAAGAGGTACTCCCAAACCCAGTAGTCAAGACACTGTTTTAATGCAGTTATTTTTTTGAAAATAAAAACAAATGTAAAAAAACACCACCATCACAATGAACAAATGATCAGTTTTAAATAAAGACGGGATTCAACCCTATACTTGTTCATTTTAGCTTTACTTCCCTCTCTTTAATCCCAGTCCTGCTGAATCCAGTCTTTGATTTTGACATTTTGTTCATTATGGATTTTTTTTTTTGCATTGATTTTTAAAGATATTGCATTAAAACATTATCTTGATTATTGAGTTTTTCGGTACCCTCTTCAGTTTTGTACCTGAGAGGAGTGCTTGTCTCTTACTAGTCCCAGCCCTGTCCTGAATATATACATACCTTCCTTTGGAACCTAACTCCTCTGACTTCATTGCTTCCTTAAAACCAGTCCTGACTTCACTGCCTCCTTAAAACCAGTCTGTTTTCAAATAAAAGCTTAAGAATTCATAGCCATAGGAAATGGTAAAATCAACAGTATCAGATTTGGAAAATAAGTGACTTTCAAGTTTGAGGAAGGAACCTTTCTAAAATGTAAGCAGTTCCAATAAAGAGGACAGTCTTGGCTTTGTTACCAAAGGGTAACAAAGCAAGACAATCTTTCTGATTGGGCAGAAGCAACATATGGCAAACAGGAGTTACCTCCCTCCCCCCCCCCCCCCCCCACACACACCCAGGCTGTTTGCCTCAGATCAAATGTGGGGATTACATTCCATGGGGTGGGTTATGAGTATATACTTCCAAAGAGAAATCCAAATATTTTCAGAAAAATAGCCCCAGTTAACACCTGGACACTTAAGTACACTTATTCCCCTTCTTAGTATGTACCCGGGAGTGTATACAATTGCATAGTTGAAGTTTTCCCAGAAAAAGAAAAGGAAAAGGAAAATTGGCCTAAGATAGGTTCTCTGGTTTAAAGCTCTTAAAAACGGTGCTGGCCAGAGCATAGGCTGTCCAGACTTGTGCTTTGTGCAAAATGCAAAGGAGCTCCCCACACTGTCCATAGGCCCACTCCCAACCCTGGGGAGAAGGGTAGAGTCAGGGAAAGGAGGAACTCCAAAGACAGATCATCTCATTGGGAGTAATCTGTGATCTGTGGTTATCGTTCACTAAAATAGATTTCTCTAACTTTTTATAAATTGCTCCAGCCTCTATCCCTTGTTTCAACATCAATCCTATTATAAAAAATATCTCTTCTTACAAAGTATTTTATTATTTTAATAAACTAACCACAGATTAAGGTCAGCTATGGCTTAACAAAAGAAGCCGGGATGTCAAGTTCATTCTCCAAAAACAGAGAGGAAAGGAGAAAGAATCACTTAAATAGGAAAAAAATATTTTTAAAAATGTTTTTCCTTGCTGGGTCTTTTGTTTCTTTCCCTTAAAAAAAAAAAAAAAAAAAAAAAAAAAAAAAGTCAAACAGTTGCTTTCTACAGAAATGCAGCAGCAGAGAATGGTAGTGCTCTATTTAGGTTTTTTGGTTTTGTTTGAAACAGTCTGGCCATAGGTCTATCCTTCTCCCACCCCTCCCAAGGCACACTCAAACTCCAATATGTGGTTATTGCTAAGTAGTTAAAAAAAGATCCCCTCTGTACCAGTTCACCTGGAGAAAATTCAACACACACAGCTGCTCTTCTCATCACTCTCTTCCCTTCCCCAGAGGGAACTTAAAAAAAAAAAATTAAAGTCTTTTTTTTTTTTTTAAATCACAACCTTCTTAATTTAGCTGAGTTCAGCCCTCCGAAAGGATGAGGAAAAGATAGGGGGTAGTCAACAACCTCCTCTCAAACTAGAACAGATGACATATGGTGTTTAGAAGGAAATAAGAGGAAAAGGTTTCCCCTTTTAAGTTTGTCCCTTCCCCATCTCAACAAACCCATTTAAACTACCTCCCTTCTAATAGGCATCCATGAGCACACATGACTGCTCTGTCTTTCCAGATTCTTCAGGAGGAAGAATTTATCCAACCCTAGTTTCTATCTTAATTCAAATCAATAGCCAATTTGTCTTAATTTCCCAGCTTCTCTCCACACTCCCAACTCCACCACCATGTGCTTTTTTTCAACCTAAAAGAACTTTGGTCTGGTTTTTGTTTTTCTTTTATTGACCGAGAACCACCTTTGCCTTCTCTTTTCCCAGATGGCTAACCATCTCCCTATCCCCACATACCAAACCTGCCCCTTCTGCTTTCATGGACCCAAGGGGTTATGAGACAGAATTGCCATTTTTCTCCTTTGTACCTCCTCAGTCCCATCAAGTCAAGATCTGCAAAGGACTAGTACAGCCCTTGAGGCACCGTCAGCCCTGACCTGCTCTTGCCAGCCTGGCAACTCTCCAGCACACACACACTTTTTAAAAGTTTCTCGCCAGGCTACTGCATTTGCCCCATCAACATGGGGCTGGGTCTTGATGAGCCAATTAGTTGAGCTTAACTTTCTTGGTTTACCCACTTGCCCTCCAAGGTCCCCTCATTCAGAACCTGTGCACAAGCAGCTCCCCACCCAGTTCCCGTTCCTTCCTCCTCAGTTCTTCCCTATAACAGCAGGAACAGAAGTTGTTTGTCTCAGGGTGTCCATAGAAGCTGCAGTTCGGTTGTTTGCATTTGGTCTGGATTGTGGGAAGCCCCCTGGGCCCTCCAGCCCATCCATCTGGCTCAGGGGGCTCTTGGTAGCCGTTGCTATAGGAATCAGCCACGCGGAAATGGGGTGGTAACAATGTACCCCTATGAACAACATCTTGGGAGTGACTTCCTGGCTCCAGAGAAAGGCTGCTGTCCTGATGGGGGTAGGGTCGCCCAGGAGGGCATTGTCTAGGGAAGGTGGCATATGGTGGTAGACCACCCCCACACGGACCCCCTGCCAACTGCCTCCGGGGTTCCTGGCAGTGAACTCCACCCCCAGAAGGCCGAGGGATTGTAAAGCCCCCAGGGTAGCCAGTAGAAAATGCCATTGCCTTGGACTCTGTTTGGGGGGCAGTCAGCAGCTCCTCCCCACCATCTGGCTCTGGCTTTTTGGCTGGAGGAGGCCCACTCCCTA